TTATTTGATGATAGAACGCATGATAATGCTCGACACAAACACGAATTGAAATTGATTAAGACGAATTGAAATTGTCATTCAAAAGCTCGCAATTCAAAGCCAATGGCCCAACGCCTGTCCAATGGTCGAGTTCCAAAGACGATTTAGAACTGATTTATTGCATGATGATGATTATGAGGGGTTGTGGTGGTGTGATTATTTGAAGGGGGCGAAGTTGCTTCTGAGTCGGAGGTGTCCCTGGACCCAATGGTGGGGACTGGATCTCACCCTCTCCCACAACTCCCTCTCCTCCCGCGTGCACTGCATCCACTCAACCGCACCCCCATTGCATGCGGCTAAATAATCAACAACAACAACATCACAATCATAAGTGAGAGCTAAAAATCCGTACAAGTTTTCGAGCATGTCAACCAGCAGCAGAGCAAATTTCATTTTACGCAGAATTTGAATTAAATACTTCACGCGGTCGAATGCTTTTGTAAAGTCACTACTCAATACGCACTGATTCTGTAGTGGTGTATCAATTCTAATTTTCATTGAAGCTATATATACTTCTATTTTCTAGGTATGCATATTGGTCAGGCAATATGACTTTTTGTAGCACTTTCTTAAACCTAGCTGCGAGCAGGTGCGAAAAAATCTTTTGGTTTGTATTAATGAGGCTGATCGGTCTGAAGTCAGCAGCTGTTTTGATGACTTTTCCTTTCGATAGCAGTTTGATAAGTGCTAAGTTAAAGGTTTTTGGCATCGGTTTTCTTTGAGTGCTCGTCTAAAAATAAAGAAATTAGCTTTTCGGCAAAAAGGGTTTTGTGTTGTTTGGATAGTTCAGATGTCAATCCATCTGGATCTGGACGTGTTGATGTGTTCAGCTTTTCAATTGGCTTTTCTATCTCGATTAAAGTTATTGGCTCTGCTACTTTTTCTTTGTATTCCTCACTAATAGTTTTTGAAAAACATCTCATAATTCCGAAGCGGTCAAGATGTTCCACCTTTCCATTTCTGTAAAGATCTTCGTAGTAACAAGTCGCCTCGTCCAGAATCACATAAACGTTATTCGACAGCTCTCCAGATTAACAATTGAAATCAGTTATGAGATTGTTTGGTTGGCATTGTTGTATCCAACGTTTAACAGCTTTAGGATTGCCCTCGAAAACCACCCAAATATTTTTTTCATGGTTGCTAGCTTTTACTTACATTCGTGTAATTCGAAATTTTTCGATTTTTTTTCATTAGAATTTTTTGTTAGGATCATTTTCTAAATGTTTTGTTTCAAGATTCGCCTGAAATGTTTCTCTTCTCTTTCTTTCTATGGTTTTCTTTTTCAAGCTAATTCCTCTTAAAAAGTCCCGAAGTTGTTGTTTTTCGATGTCATAGTTTTTCGGATTGCAATCGGACGGTACAATAAAATCTGATATTATATGATGATTTGGTCAAAAAGACATTATTATTGAGTCTCAAAACTCCTAGAATTTCTTCAACTTCGATTTCTTCGCCAATTATTAGAGTCAGTTTGGAATGATAATTAGAGCCAGCTGTGGTCACTTGGAATGTTTTTGATATTTTATAAATTAAAAACTTTTGTTTTGTCATACCGTTAGTAAAAAAATAATCAATTCTTGTCGTAGTCCCTGTTTTTGCTCATCTATGGGTGTGTTCATGTTCAAAGTTTAAAGAGGTGCTATATCATTCAAAAGCATGCCATCGAAAAAAGTTTTCCACTTTTTGCAAATCGTAATATGAGCATCTTTGTTCACAGTACCCGCTTTCTTTTCACCGGTTCTATCTCTTTTCTCGTTGTTAGATGCATTCAGATCCCGGCCAGTACAAGTTGTCCTTCTGGTTTGGTGTTTATAGTTTGCATAAAATCTTCAATCGCTTGGCAGTAAAGAATATATTCTGCAGATTTTTTGTAAAGGTTGCATATGAACAAAGAGAAGTCAGTTAAATAGGTAACAGTACCATCGTCCGCCTTTTCAATCAGTTCCACGTATGGAGATAATTTTTACACAGTAAGAAGTCCCCCAGTTCTCATAAATTTTTTTCTATAAGCTGAACAAACTTGAGGCCTTTGTCAAGACCCCGGCACTTCCCAGTAGTTATGTTAACTTTCATTCAATATGTTTTCGAAATTATCTCCGCGCACTGGGTGATTATTATGCTTTTTTCGCAATCTAGTGTTCCGAAGAATTCTTCCGAGTGATACCATAATTGGATGGTTTGATTATCGCTAGTTTTTTTAAATTAAAAATGTTTTCTTTTGTATTTTGCTCTTGATCATCCGTCGCGTTTTTGGATATTGTTTGCCATCTTTTCTTTGTTTTGTTTCTGCTTTTGTTTCATCTTTATTTTCGTTACCCTGTTTGCTGGGATCACTGGGTTTACCGTTGCTTTCTATGTCTTTTCCCGTGTGTTCGACATTACGCGTTTCATCCTTGCGTTTCAACCAACAGTGCTTTTCATGATGTCCCATGTATTTCATCTCGAGTGATCTGCAATGATTGCATTCTAAAATGGATCGAATATTCGCAAAGAATTCCATTTCATCAATTTTAAGAGTCTCGGTGCATTTCTGTTCCGCCTTGGTTTTGATCTGGTCTAGTTGATATTTGTTTTCAACGATTATTTTATATATGCTCTACCTGTGAAAATATAACAACCATCACTCGTTTTGTGCTTCTGCTTCAAAATTGGTGAGATGCTACCTGTTCTAGGTAAATGGTTTGCATCAATTACCTGCTCGTCGGGCAAAAAATGGGGCAAACATTGGAGGTGCAGAGTTATTTCTCGCGGGACTGCTTCTGTTATTTTAACTGGAGGCCCCCATGCATTTATATCCTTTCCAAACACAATAATCCCCTTTAGCTTAAGCCCTAGTAGACTTTTTTTCATTTCGGGTGGGGCTAGAATTCGTACAGCATGAAGTTTCTTACCGGTGTTCTTCTCAACAATGGCTTTCAGAAAAGTAATGTTATCTCTTTCACTTTGGGGAAGCGCCTTTTGTATTGAAGATAAATTTTAATTAAAAACCAGGTCCTGTTTCTGTTGATCCTGGAATATTTTTCCTTTAAAAGGTAAAATACACTCAGCTTTGGTAAGTTTTTTCGAAGTCAAAAGGCTTTTAATAGATGCTTCTTGGGCGAAAGTCTGCTCCTTTATAACTGGGGGCTTAATGTGCCTTGGATTAGCATTTCTGATGAAGGTTGCACGGTTTCCAAGCTAAAGTCGGTCATCTTTTGTCGAGGTATTGTTCTTTTTGTCGGCAAAATCAATTGCTTTTTGGGTACTACTATGATAGAGTGGTCCCTCGAAAAAGCAACTATGATAGACAGGTCCCGCATGCATTTCGCATGTTATAATTTTGAAAACTAATTTGTGTATAAATTATTCATTTCAAAAATCTTGCAAAATATGTTCAGCCAGAAACTTTTCAGATTAAAAATTGTAATCACTGTTGTTGATATATTGAAATTAGCTCGCTCTACTTTATTTTACGGTTTAACAACCATATAATTGGGTTGATTTATTTGTCATCAAAACCCACTATTGGCGGTTTTTTTAAAATTTTTAACCTTAATTGGTGAGGGGGAGGTTTTAAGAGGTAACAAAACATGAAATTTGTTTGAAAATATACTGCGACATCTTTCTGAAAGGCGTAATCATAATTATGAAACGATTTGAGAGCTCTAGGTGTCTTATTCTCAAGGGACCTGGTTATTTTCAAGGGACCACTCTATCATAGTAGTACCGCTTTTTGCAGTTTAGTTCTGCAAAAGTTAGCAGAAAAACCTGCAAAAGTTGCTAAACTAACGCGTTGAAACCGCTGCTGCTGGAAAAATAGAATCGATCATATAAATTAATCAAAACGCAGTATAAACTGGTGTAACAAATCTTATTTTGCAGTATTGAAATATCAAGTTTTTGTTTCCGTTCAAGCTATATAAAAATGTAACAAATAGGCGAAAACCTTAGTACAAGGCGAAAGTTTTTCTCGATTTGCAAAGAGTAGAAATTATTTATAGAAAAGTCTGTAAAAAGTGCCTGTTCTTTACTAAAAGCAAAAATGGGATCTTGTTAACTATTTCCCCCTATTTCGATTTTTAGAAATGCAACTTTGGCGGCCATATTTCCATTAGCTTAAAACAGTTTTCAGAAAGTATACTTACTTAAAATTTCCTACGTAGGTATTAAATAAATAGTGAGTAATAAATACAAATACAAGCGCGCGAAAATGAAAAACCAATTAATTGTTGACGTTTTTGAAATGCATTTTTTATACAGAAATGGTTGTCAAAAATATTACACGCACAGAAAAGAAATAGTAAACAAAGTCCAAAAAGGGGGAAATAATTAACAAAATCCCGAAAAAAGACCCATTGGGATAAAATTTTGGAATTAATAAAAATTGTTGCAAAATAAATTATACTATAATTTTGGTGCTAAAATATCTACTCCATTTTTTCCATCATTTTTTTTACGAATGTCAGCTGAGAGAAGCGCGATGATATTTTGCATTTTTCTTCGTTTTTTCCAGATAACTTAAATCAGCACTGTATTAGTTTTGATGTTAAAAAATTTTATAGGCTGATTCAAGAACAGATCACCCAATAAGATAAAAATTGCTACTTGTTGCTCCGGAGCTGACCACTTTACTTTCATGTAGTCATAGAGTTATTATTAGTGAGAATTAATGGTGATAGCTTTGAATCGTCATTGGTTCAGCAAAAATGTGTCATTTATGAACCTTCGCCGTAACTAACTAAGTTTCCAAGTCAACACAATTTTCCAACACAATTCTCAAAATCTTGAAGAAGTTGATAAAAATTTCATTTTGTCGAAAACCTGACCAGCTGATGACAATTAATTATAAAATTGGTCTTTTGCTCTTTTTTTCTAAATTTAAACTGTTGAGCAGTCATAAAACAGTTGTTTTGAGTTTGAATTTAAACACACAGATTGACAACAAGTACAAAATTATGGAAATTTTTCAAAAATAGTGTAAAACGAGCATGGTATTAATCTGTTGAAATTAATTCTGAATTAGCAATGAGTTGATTGATGATGAAAATAAATTAATTACTGGTGGGCTGATTGTAATAACTGAACATTCACAAATATTTGACATTGATTTAATTGAAGACGAACGAAGACAGAAAACAGACAGACAATTAATGAAAAAATTGGTTGAATTGAATGGTTGAATTTGATTTGCGAATTGATTGAATTTACGTTAAATTGCATCACAGAAGCGAATTGAAATGAATTGTCAGAATTGTCAGGGGGTGCGTCTCAGTGACGCATAAACGATAAATTGTCGAAAAAAGATACGTGGTAGTTGAGAAAGCGGTTTGAACTTGGGAAGTTTGTGAGCTAAGAGATGGTTGGGGGAGGGGGGGGGGGGCTAGGAAGAGACGCGGTTAAGAAATGTTCATGGCACATTTTGGGGCTAAGACATGGGAAACGTTTTTTTTTACATTATACTTGACTTTTTGCGGTCAACTGCATTTTCAGATCGAGTATTTCAATTGAGTTAGACTTTTGGGCCAGTGTTACAGCAGCGGAAATAAAATAACATTTATGATTTATCTGAGGGTTAATTACAAATACCAAGGAAAAAAGAGGGTCTTAGAAGTCACGGCAGAAGTTATTTGATGATAGAACGCATGATAATGCTCGACACAAACACGAATTGAAATTGACACATTACACAAAATAGAACCAATAAGTTAAAAAGGCAGCAGTGTTTCAGGTATTCGTTCGTTTTTTTTTTTGGTTTCACACCAAAGGGACCAGAAGAGTATCGGAACCCGGAGAATCGGAAGTTTCGTTTCATTTCTAGGTCGGATGAAGTCAACCCATACGAGTTACAGACTATGCCGAACGTCCAAAATGAAGACTATGAGTTGAGGACGATGCCAAAAAGCGGGATACTTCAACACATAGCTTCCAAGACACCAAAATCTTGAGGAGCTATCTCATAGTCACTGTTTACTTTTAGAAAAAAAAACTGCAGCATATTTGAAGGCTAAGATGTGCGGCTTTGCAGCGAAGTAGTTAAAAATCAATCGGATCATAATTTAAATATGCAAACGTGACCAAACAACGAGTCAGAACATGTTTTTGAGGGTTTTCGGATGATACTTTTGACGAGATTCTCGAATTTAGTCAGGGAAGCATTTTTCCTCGGTTTTTATGAGTAGCAATAATTGATTGTGGAATTTTTCTTCTATCCTTTTCTTATTTGCTCGGGCCACCTTTCGATATTATGTACTTCGTCATGGTTTCTTCTGCAATATCTCTGTAGATCTAAGTTTTTTAAATAGAGAAATAAAGATCGCGCAAGACAGTATTGGCTGCTTTATTTTTATGATTAAAAACATCTTCTTCATTGAACGGCGGTTCCAGATTTCTAGTGATAATAATGCTTTCATTCGAAATTTTTGAAGACGATTTTTTATGAAGTGTTCAATGCTTCAGTTCGAAGACTTTGAAGACGACAATTTTTACGAAGTGCTCGAGTCGGCTCGCAATCCAACGCGACTGGTCCAACGCGTGTCCAATGGTCGAGTTCCAAAAACGATTTAGAACTGATTTATTGCATGATGATGATTATGAGGGGTTGTGGTGGTGTGATTATTTGAAGGGGGCGAAGCTGGTTCTGAGTCGGAGGTGTCCCTGGACCCAATGATGGGGACTGGATCTCACCCTCCCCCACAACTCCCTCTCCTCCCGCGTGCACTGCATCCACTCAACCGCACCCCCATTGCATGCGGCTAAATCATCAACAACAACAACATCACAATCATAAGTGAGAGCTAAAATTACGCATATATATTTGATTGTTTGGCAGTTTGATTTTAATTAGCTTCTTCTTTGAATTTTTGTCATTTTGTGTTAGGGGGAGATTGTTTACTCGGCCTAATTAAAGGAGGGGGGGGGGGAGGAGGAGATTTTTTTTTATTGTTAATTTAGGCCAATATTTTTCTCATGCAACAGCAATAGTTTGCAGATAAGTTTCCGTTTGTTCTAAAACCAATAGCATATATAAACAGAAGGAAATTGATTCACAAGAGCGACGAGATACTTTGCACCCCCTTTTGGGCGCCTTTGAAGCTGTATGCTGTATTCGCACTTGTTCTTGATTAGTATCGATAGTTGATAAAAAAAATTAGGTATTCTAATCGTTTCTGCGAAAAAAAAAAGAAAACAAAAATAGATAGCATTATTTCTCCTTTCCAGCATTATTTGCCTTCATGTGAGCTTTTAACCAAAAATGAGTTTTCTCAACTCTTCGGAAAAACTTTCCAGGAACGAAGTTGTCAAAAAATTGTAATTAAAAACATACATTTGGAAAAAGTTTTACAAGAACATCGAGATTAATTTTAAATCCGGCAATTTTCCTTTTTTTAAAATATCTTTTTTTTATCTAGTGGTTTAGCTGAAACTCTTTTTATCAATAATCTGCTAACTTTGGGATCTCTCTAACTAACCTCCTAGGGTACCTTGTAACGAATTGCAACCCCTATAAAGAAAAATGGCACTGTTTGAGCATATGCAAATTTTACACCAAGTAACGAAATTCTCCCCTTTTGCAAAAAAGGGGGGAATTGTTGTTACAGAGACCCCAACTTTATTTCATAATCATATTCATGATCTATGGTTGTTTTCCATTTTTTCTTTAGAAATATGCAAAAAGGTTTTGATAATTTATGAATATGTAACTTCCTCACCAAATAGATTGGCATACTTTGCCTTCGACGCTTTCATGTTTTTCCTTGAAACAGATTATTTAAAGAGCCGCCTCATTTTGAATTCAACAAATTCTAATTTATTTTTGTCTGCTCAGAACAGGACTCGTTATTAAAGAACTGGTTTAACATAAACTCTGCAAGGTTGCAAGAAATATTTCCCCATAAATGTTTCCAAACCTTATTTTTTTAAATAATATTTGTGGAGTTTTGTAGGAAAAATTGTTTTTTTTCATTTCAACTTTCTTAAATGAGAGCTTTTTGTGTAGCCAAGACAATATTGATTTCAAGATTTCTTGGATTTTATCATGGTTTCATGTTTTTAAAGGACTTTTGTCTGCCCACAGAGTTAGATTTTTTCACAAGTTCTTTTTTTTTCAATTCGGTATAACTTATACAAATAATGAAAACTATAGCACCTGATATGTTTGGGTAGGAGTTGTTAAAGTGCGTACTCTGCCGGTTCTTGCAGACAGCCTGACTATTGTTTTACAGTTGATCTACTGTTATTTTTCATAATTTTTGGAACATGATTTTAAATAAGCGTTGATTTAGAAAGAGATTTGGTTTTACCTAATTCAGTGAGGTTTTTTCCCTAGCCAAGACGTGGTAGTGTCCAAGATTTCCTGGAGTCTTATCATGAATGTTAGTGTTTTTTGTTTTTTTTTTTAATAAAATTTCCGTCTGCATACAAAGTTAGATAGTTCTGTTTTTTTTTTTTCAATTTAATATTATTCATGCAGTTTTAAAAAAATGAATCAATTGTGTAGTTTCTGCGATTCGCAGAGGATCTATGAAAGGCCATCCAGCCTGTCTAAGCATAGTCCGTTTTTCTTATTTCCCCACATTCCCGACTGAACTATTTTATTGCGACTTCAGGCAACAACAGCAACTCAAGGCCGTTTTTTTGCGTCCAGAACTTCACGTGGTGCCACTATTGCAGCGTGAAGTTATTTGTTTTTTATAAAGCCGTGATATTATTTTTTTTTTAAGTAAGCCTGTTATTTACATTTTAGTAAAGGCCGCTGACTAGGTGGAAAGCAGCAAGAATGATAGGCAGCAGTCGCGAAATAAAGCTACAACTTTAACAGAATAAAACGACTTTAAATTTTTATTGCCGTGGGACGTCAGCCGTTTATCAATTTTTGCCTAATGTAGTAGTCTTAAAACCGAAAATATTGAGATCTGTTTTTCTCGGTTCAGACCAGTGTCGGATTTAAGCGGGGGGGTGTGGGACGTTCTTTTTTCTCAGGGATTCGACCCCCTAACCCCCAACGACCCAAAGGGTCCCCCAATTTGTACTATTTTGAGATATCCATATTTGGTGACGGACCCTAAAATTTTTCTCAAAGCGCCTTTGGCGCAACATATACTAATTTTATGCGAGGAGCGCGCGCCAAAAAACGTGAATTTTTTTGGTCCAAATGTTCCAAAAAGTGCCTAAAAACGCCTTTTTTGGCCTGTTTTTTTTTCAAAATTTTGCCTGCGGTGCAGAAAATTTGGCCATAACAGGGACTTTTTAGTGCTTTGGGACAGCTCGAAAACTTAAATTGGTCGATCTAAAAAAAAGTCGACAAAATTTTCGATTTTTTTTTGAAAATCCCCCCTCGAGAAAATCGTCGATCCGCCCCTGGTTCAGACCAATGGGTGTTGAATGTTGAACCTGGCGTTGAACATAGTGTTTCACGCGATGAGTCTCGGTAAGTGTGGTTCAAAATTGTAAACTACCTGTTCCTGCAGACAGTCTTACTCCAGCCAGGAATGAGCGACTATTTCCTGGTCCACTCTTCTCCCTATTCTCTTTCTTCTCTTTATTCTCCCTGTGACTTCCAGATGATGAAAAAGGGGAAGATGACGAGGAGGTGGAGTAGATGGCCAATTCCAGACACACCTGGTCCAGGTTCACCGTTTTACTCATCACGCTTCCTGAAGTACCAGAACCGTTTGTATAATGATCGAAATTGACCATTTAATGAGCTAAAAAGCTCTTTTATTATGAAGCCTGTGCACTGGATAGGCTCATGATTTGGTGTGTGCAGATCTCTCGAATCCAGAAAAAAGTCTTTTGAACAAAATCAAACTTAGGCTGAATGATAAAAAAACGAAAGAACAAATGAAGAACAAAGAGAGCGTCCTTGTTGAGAGCGTCCTTGTCCTACAATTCACAAAATACACAGTTTGGCTTCGTATTATTGGTAACGCCTACAGCCAGTTTGTAAAACCGTCATATAACCTTTGCAGTTTGAGGCTGTTAAAGTATTCTTGAATTTACTAATAAAATTGAAAAATAAAACTTTAATTATCAGAAAAGTTAGCAATTGTTAGTTAGAGAAATACTTATTGTAACGTGACAATTTGCAGTAATCATCATAATAATCAGAATAATAAGCATAACAAAAATCATACTAATAACCATCATAATAATCATAATAATAGCCATAATAAAAATCATATTAATAATCATCACAATAAACATAATAATAATCATAACAATTGTGGCTTCTGCGATTCGCAGAGGATCTATGAATGGCTTTCCAGCCTATCTCAGCATAGTCCGTTTCTCTTATTTTCTAACCCACATTCCAAAATTTTATACGTGGTACCATTTGAAAAAACAACTCGTGACAAAATTTATAACGAAAGCAACAACTTCCAGGGTTTAAAAAAAACTAGTTAAAGTAGCTATAATCAGATCAGCTCTAAGTTTGGAGTAAACTCCTACCTCTGTTGGCAAGCTCTCAATACATTTGCGCGACTGCTATAGTGAGTATATTTCGAAATGTCTTTTGTTGCGAGTTGATTACACTTGCGGACTTAACTAAGCGTATGTGTAATAATGCGACAATTCTTTTTTTTCTAACCTAACTTGCAAATATTGGTACCACTTTTGGTGGCACCTTTACGGATTTTTGATAGCAAAAAATAGCTTTGAAACTCGAATAATTATAAGTTAACACTGTTGATGCATTTTTAATTCATCAAACCAACCGAAAAAAGTGATTTGTTTCAAACAACATAACAGTAATGAAAACTCGACTTCAGAAATTTAATAACTCACTATATCTCGCAATTTTTGAAATTCATAATTTATACATAACGTGGCGTTATAATTTCCAATTTATTACATACAAAGTAAGTGTGGATGCGTTCAGTTTTTTATATTCCAAACTAATACTTGCAAAATTGTGTCTATTTGTATTTGGTGCCACTTTTGCTGCATTGCATTGACAATTTGTGAGCATATGTAGCTGCTTTAATTGTGACTAGTTTGTCCTGATTATTAAGCGTTCGTGGCCAAGAGGGTAGAAACTGAAATCTCGAATATGCAGGGTCGAAGCCAATACGTATAAACAAAGTTTACTAATTTGAGATGTTTTTTTATTTTTTCTTGTTTCACTTTATAAAAATGCTTTTTTGTCGTGTTCCCGCTAGTGTGTGAGAAGTGCAGCTTTGCCTCTGTGTTTATTACTTCATCTTATCTACCTGTAGCATCTGAAGTTGAAGATGAAGACGAGGATGTTGAGACGACGAGTGGTATGTTGAATGTCTTGAGGTAGACGGGGTCTGCACTCTTGGTCACCACCTCCCCACTGTCCCAAACTGCACTGGCCATCGGCAACAGACGCCTACACATGAATTTATTGGATTGATATAATAATCTATATAATGCTAGAGCTAAATATAGTTATACTTAATGCCAAATTGTTGGCAATATCGGTAACCTTGAGCCCTTTAAGTGGTCACAAACTATAGCAATTTAAGATTTAAAAAAATAGTTGTACACGGTTTTAACGTGTGGAAATCAGTGAAAAACCGAAATCCGACATAAAAATGAGCAGCCGAGCAGTTTTTGGGCTAATCAATTTCGGTCTGATTTGTTGACCGAAAAGATATTGCCAACAATTTGGCATTAACTAAAAAGAATAAGAATCAGTTAAAATTAGTGAATTACTTAATCGTTAAAACATTAGATAAAAAGTGAGCAAGATCACTCCGAAGATGTTGATTAGGTTGAAGGTCAGAATAAGGTCTGTTACAAGATGAAATAAAATGAATGATATAAAATCAGATCACAACATAAGTGATCCAAGGGCGGATTTAGGCAATGGGCGGGGAGGCAGACTCCATTTCCCCCATCAGGGATTCGATCACCTCACTACCTAAAGAGTCCCCCTTTTGGTGCTATTTTACGACATCTTTTTTAAACTGACCGACCATTCGGCTCCAATATGTGCTTAATTTGCGGAGGGGGGACCACCGAAAAACACAATTTTTCAGTCAAAACCTACCAAAAAGTGCTTAAAGAAGATGAATCTTTTCGAAACGTTCGCCCCTCACTCACCCTTCCCCCTCCCCGGGAAAATCTATGATTCGTCCCTGTGTCATCAATTAAATACATCATCCGATACCTATTACTCAGTCATGCACATAAAGTTCTGAAGAAGATTACAAAATTTTTTTGACACATTCTTCTGAAATCTTACTTCATAATTATTCCATTCAGTCCATCTTTCTAACAAACTCAGCTCAAGCCCAGCGATAATTTGCTATGTTTTTTTTATAATTGTGCATTGTATACTGTGAGGGATACTGAAGTCAATGATAGGGTTCAAACTATTAAATGGGCGCATTCAAAAAGTTGAACCGTATCAAGAAAGACTATCAAAATTGGGCGCTCTTCCCTTTTTATTTCAAATTGCGTTCATTTAGTACCTTGTTCTACAAATTTGTTTCAGCCATCGCAACAAATTGACAAAAAGGAGCCTTAACTGCACTACCCGCCGAAGAAATCCATGGATAATGGTCAATTATTTTAGAATAATATTGTCTGTCTCCCTAGAAGCTTTTAAAAATTTATTACAAAGGAACATAAAATGAATATACTATTAAGAAAGCCAAAAACAATAAAATCCACTATAAAAGCTCTTATTTCATTTTACTTTCCTTTCTCACCTTTTTGAAAATGCATTTAATATAACTTTTTATTTAAATGTTGACTAACACAAATTGCATTAGTAAATTGAGATTTTTTTGGCTCAGAAAACTGTTAGTCCTTTTTTTCTTTGCAAAAACTGTTCAAAAAAGTCTCAGGAAATCTATTATAATGGATTAACAATTGCTCAGTTTTAAGAAAACCAAAATAAAAAATGGTCCTCTAGAATCATTTTTTTCCCATTATGTCTGCGTTTCTTATCTTTTTTTGAGATAAATTTGTTATTTCCACGTTGATCATCAGGGGTTTGCACTGTTTAAAATTACGAGGCCAAAATGTGCGTTTTGTGAATTGTAAGCGGATTCCTCAACAAGGAAGCTCCCTTTGTCCTATTGTTCTCTCAATTCCTTTGATCGTTCCGACAAAACTTTAACATGTTTAAAAACTTGTCTCCAGAATCCAGGAATATACAGACACAAAATTGTGCGCCTATCCAGTGCACAGTTTGGCCTCGAAAAAAGGCTTGTTATACAGCTTTCATATATGAAAATTGTATGATATGCATTTTTTTCATAAGCAAAAACTTCAAAAGAAGTGTTTTTTTTTGTAAACACGATTATTATCATTTTTTATTTGCTAAGATAAAACCAAATTTGTAAAAAAAAAGGCCTTGTTTTCTCAACCACCTGAATTCTTAAACCAAAATATATCTAGCCATATACAAAAGATTACCTTTTTGGTATGTAATTCCATCTGAAAATGTTAAAATTACCTTAGATGGCAAAAATCACCAAAAGAAATTTATCTGCGTGGTAACTTTCAGCTACACCCTGGGTTTTCTTATGACAAAAAATTCATGGTTAGTGTTTCGGATGCAATACAAAATTTCAAAACAAAATTTTTTTAAATGGAATTTCATAGCATGGAAAAAATGCTTGTCATACAATTTCATAGTATGGAAAAAATACTTATTTTGCTATTTTCATACACTTACTTTTACTCTATGAAAAATGCATGAAAAAGTATGATAAGCATTTTTTTCAATAATGAAAATTGTATTATAAGCATTTGTTGTCAACCCGGGTTGAGAAATATCTGCTCTACACACTGGCATTCGCTGCAAGTTGTCGCAAAATGAAGTAGAAAAAAATATGATTCAAATAGATTTAATTAGATTACAATTGTTTGAAACCCGCGAACTAATGGAATATAATGGATTTAGAATCCATTTCAATATCCAAGGACGCCATGGGACTTGATTTTTTAAACTATTTTACCCTACAAAAATTGACACATGTGAACAATCTTCCCCTTAACAGAGCAAGTGAACAACCTCTCCCTAAAATTAAATGACAAATGCAAGCTGTAAGGCGCCCTGCACGTACTATGCTCAAATATGATTGGCTTTATTACTTTTAACCAAGTGAAGAATCTCTCTCCTAAATAGATGTAGAAGGAAGGGGAAATATTGTTCAATTGGTCCCAAAAATTAAGTAAAATAGTTTTTTTTTCAGGTTTAACTAGATTCATGTAGTGTTATTGGAATGGAAATCTTACAAAGAGCATGTAAAATTTGCATTCCAAGCTGCTCGTTATAAAGAAATATTTTGCAAGATTGGGCTCAAAATTAGGCAAATCAAAAGAATGCAAAATTTTCAAAGACCTTCAGAAAAATAAAAAATCTTCATTTGTAAGAACCTTGCAAGATTCTTCCAAGATGTTGAAAGCTTCGGAATTTCAGTTCGGTGTGCATAGTCTGGCAACAATTTGGCAAGATTCTTGCAACGTTTGCATTCGCAATCATTCGGATTGATCTCGCCAGATTTGCATTTAAAGTACGCTGCATGGAGCTTTTAAATATCTCTTAGCAAATTCAACATTATCTGAAATTTCTGTGCAATTTTTCGTTGCCCAAAAAAACTGTCGCGACTTTTTGGGAGCAGCCTTCATTAGCAAGTTATTCATATTTTCAATAGATTCTCGATAAAAATTATTGATGTAATAGTAATAATAATGATGATATCTGCGATTCGCAGAGGATCTATAAAAGGCTAAAAGGCCTTTCTAAGCATAGGCTGTTTCTATTATTTACCCACATTCCAGAATGAGTTTTTTGGTGAGTTTTTTTGGTGGTCTAGAACTTTCACGTGGAAAATTGGAATTACTATGGCAGCCAAAATTGGTCAGGCTGAGGTAGACCTGAAGCTAGAGGTCAACTGAGAGCTTGTCCTCACAAATTATCATTGCCATGGCAGGGGATCGAAACACAATTTGATTATCTCAAAGGGAACACCTTATCACTATATAATAAACTAAATGGAGCATTTGGTCTTCGGAGTGTACAACCGGCCGATGCATCAAACAGCCAAAATTGAGCAGTGAAAATTGGCATCACAGCCTTTCAAAACATTATTTTACCGTTTTCCTCATGTTAGCGTGTGAATTAATTACAAGAGCTTTTTAGCGATTTTTTAAACAACACAGCATTTGAGCAGGAGTGCGGTCAAAAAGTAGACATGTCTTAAAGTAGGCAAGTCGTAAGCCAATCACAGTCGAGTTTCATAAACTAGACAAGTAATTAGCCAATCACAATCAAGTGTCATATCTCGGGTCGAGGTGCTCGATTTATGTTTCGAAATTCTCGACCAAAAATCGGTATATTTCGAACGTCTCGAACAAGTTTCGATATGTTTCGACTTTTTCGACCCAACAAAAACGTATTTGGCTTTGTTCGACCCAGTTAAGATATGTTTCGACTTTCTCGACAAACGTTCGCTTTGTTTCGACTTTCTCGACCGTCTTGACTGATAACTTTTTAAAAATTTATTTCATCGACCCCGCATACATATGCTTCGACTTTTTCGACCAAAAATGGGTATGTTTCAACTTTCTCGACCAAAAAAAATGTAAAAATTTCTTCGAAAGCCAGAACAGCAAGGTTCTATATATCAGGAGGAAGCCCTTGAAATATCAGGAGGAAGCCCTCTTCGAGGAAACCATCAGAGGGAAAACCCTTAAAAAGTCCCAACTAATTATTGTCTTGAAGAAGTTGTGTATAATTCCGTAAGCAAAAACAAGAAAAATACATTACAAAAAAACATCTTTTTGAAAACATCCCGATGCCCGGGTCAAGGTTTGCAAGTTTCGTTTCAATTGATTTTTCGAATGTTTCAACCGTCTCGACCCAGGCTGCATATGTTTCGACTATGTTAGACTGAGAAAAAAAATTAAGTTCGACCAAGGAAAAACCTTTCGACTGAATTTGACCAAGGAACTTTTTTAGACCTGGAAGAAAAAGAACTTTGACCGAAAAAAAAAAACAGTTCGACTGTATTCGATGGTTTTGTCAACACTTCAAAAAATTGAGCATTTATTTTGAGGTAAATTTGTGTTGGACTTAAGGTTTGGACCAATTTGATTTTTTGTTTCGACTGTGCTCGACATATGTTTTGACTTTCTCGACCAAATATGGGCATGCTTTGACTGTACTCGACATATGTTTCGACTTTCTCTACGTTCTCGGCTATCAAATAACATGAGTAAATTGAAAAAAAATTATAATGTATGTTTTTCGTGATGATGCTTGATTTGAATATAAACTAATAAAACGTGTAATTTCATAGCTCCTCCAATGGAAACTTTTTTCTAGTTGAATCTCCCTATTTTGCAATTTTGCTTTGATTTTTTTGGCAAATCTGGTCTGAAACTTTTGATATAAAAACTGTCATTTGAGGAATTTTTGGTCAAATTTACTTTTTCTTGCAGCAGGAATCCTTAGATTTCCAAACCTGAAAGGATTCCCTCGGAAACTTTTAGTTTTGCGGTAAAAAAAATCTCCTCAATTGTTTGTTGCGGGTTGCAACTTTCTGACGGAAGTCTTTTTCAAGCAGATTTTTTTGCTGAATTTCTAATTTACATTTAAAAAAAAATCTTTTTAAAAACATAAAATTTCGAAAAAAAAATAGGTTGTGCTCGACCTATGTTTTGACTGTGCTCGACCTATGTTTCGACTTTCTCGACCAAAATCAGGTATGTTTCGACTGTGCTCGATTTATGTTTCGACCGTGCTCAACCTATGTTTCGACTTTGCTCGACCTTTGTTTCGACTTTCTCGACCGAAAATGTTTATGCTTCGACTGTGCTAGACCTATTTTTCGACATTCTCTACCAAAATCAGGTAGGTTTGAACTGTGCTCGACCTATGTTTCGACTTTCTCGAACTACGTTTCGACTTTCTCGGCCAAAATCGGGTATGTTTTGACTTTGTGCTCGACTTAAAATTGCTTCTCGACCGCAAAATTTCAGTCGCGAAATTGCACTTGCTCGACTTTTAAAGTCGAAACTTAAGTCGAGCACCTCGACCCGGGAGAGTAGACAAATCTTAAGCCAATCACAATCGGGAAAAGAAAACAAACGTACAAAGTGTTTTCTTTTCTCTATTCTGATAGCTTTACGACGTGTCTATTTTTTGCACAGTAACTCTTTAAGTATGACTAACAGTGTGCAGAAAGTATTGGGAGGCTGTTTAGTTTTGATGATCCCTCCCACTCCCCCTCCCCCTCCTCCTCCTGACCCGGTCCCTTTCTTGCCCCCCTGCAGGAGACCACTGGCACTCACACGCACACTCATTCTTTTTCCAGGCTCCCACTTCACCGTCAATTTCACCCAACCCACACTCTTAGAATCATTCTCAGCCTGCGTGATAAACAAAAACAACACTGGATTGAGTTTTTGATTTTTCCAAAAGGGCAGAAACATTTAAACTTACTGATTAGAAAGTGTAACTGAACGAGATTATTCGATTTCCTTTAAGCAAAAAGATTGACAAAATCAGTTAATTTTGTGTATAGTGTGTGCACCTAAAGGATAGCAAATTCAGCAAAAAAATTTTGCCTAACTGGCGCGGAGGAAAAGTTTCTAGTTTTGACCGATATAGGTTTAATACTAATAATAACTTTGGTTTCTGTAATTTGCAGAGAAAACATGAAAGATTCTTCAACTTGTCTCATGATAGCGAGTTTCTATAATTCTTCTTATTCCAGACTAAATTATTTTTTCAAGTGAAGCTCTCTTTTAATGGCACCCAGGCGTTTTTTGTGTCTAGCACTCTCATCTGTTAACCTTAATACAGTCGAAAAAGATCAAGCAGTGGTAGATCTAAAACTAGAGGTCACATGAGATCTCGTTTTCACACACTATCAGTAATTCAGTAATTTTTTGACGCTTATGGCTCTAAGATTTGAATACCAGTTTTTGTCGGCCTTATTGTTTTTTCTTGATCTACGCCGTCTCAGTTTAGCACTTGAATGCCATTTTTATCAAATTCAGTCGGCTTGTGTCATTAAACGGTTTAATCTAAACAAAATTAGTGGCTTTTTTCCAGGCTAACAGTCAATCTTTACAAATCAAAACTTCATAAAAGCTTTCATCACGTTTTTGATTTTTTCTCGACTTGCCTGAGGCTCTTTTTTATCGGAGTACAAAAGGTTCATCATTCATGACTATTTATTCATTGTCTATACTTTTTGAAACAAAAAACTGAATAAAAGCTAAATCAATTCATTCGTTTGTTGTGCTCATTTACAATCAAAGTTTGGCTATAAAGTAATAGGATAGAAAGCCGGAATAGAAAGATCAGTATTAGTATTGTGGAATCTGATCGGCTAGTCTGTAAAACGAATATTGTTTCAAAAGTTTCAATTTTCTATGCTATTTTAACCCTGTGCTTAAGTTACGGTACCCGTGATCAGTGAGTTGATTGCAAAAACAAAAGAGCAAAAGTGCCAAAAATAAACAGAATGATGACTTCTGCTAGCGCCCAAAATGTGCCAAACCTCGACTCATTTTGTTAGCAAAAATTTTACCATAGAAATGGTAAAAAAAAATCAGTTGCTTATAGTAATTCATTCGTTCATGTCTACGAGTGAAATCATCCATTATTAAGATGCTTGATGTAGAGTTAGTTCTATAAGCACTTAATGCTACTTAAAGCAAAAATTCAGTAGCAGCGTCAGAATTTGTGTCTGCGAACCATTTTTCTTTAATTTTGAAGAAATGCTTGATTGCGTTTATCTGCATTGGGAGTTTCGATAATGCAGTAAATGATTACTTTTTTGGGTCTTTGTTTTTTATTGATTTCTGTTTTCTAATTAGTCACACTCTAATTGGCTACTTGAATTTTGTTTGTGAATCTATTTATTTGTGAATCTAATAAAAATACTCACATATATGGTAAGAGGCAGAGCGTGGGCGATTGGCGAAGCGACAGAAGAAGTAAGAGAAGACGAGGATGAGGGGGACTGAGTTGCAATGAGTTCATCAACCCCCACCTCCACTTGACCCAAGAGGTGGTCCTTGTCTTTTTCCTTCTCCTTGTTTTTGTCTTTTTCTTTGATTTTTTCTTTTTCTTTGTTTTTGTCCAGCTTTGTCTCCTTTTTACTGCATACTTTAATGGAAACGATACTGCTCTCTATCTGGTCAGAGTGCAGGACGAACTGAAACCAGCAAAATATATTAAGACATTTTTAAACGTGATCAGATTTTTGACCAAGTCAAGTTGACAATTTGCTTCGCTAGTGGTCTTTTTTCACGAGAGCGGCTGATCTAAGCAAATTAATATATGGGCAACCTTCATTTTTTTTTATACAACAACCATTTTGGACAGAATGATGGTTCTTAACCCTTGCCAAAAATTTTCTAGAGGTGCTTTGTGGTTGCAAATATGTAGTTAATTTGACAGACTTAGCTGTTTTTGTAATTATTCTGATGCTTAGGTCTTGCAACCTAGTCCTAAATGCAGTGCAAAGATATTTTTATTATAAAGTATGTTGCGTGTGTACCACATGTGAATATTTTTCACAGTATAAAAAAAATCACTTTGAGTTTTTCTGATTAACATTTGAAAATTTTTGATCCCGAAAAAAATCCAAAACAGAAGATCCAACTGACCTTGAGAGTTTCTGGGAAGGGCGATAAAGATGAAGAAAGTGAAGATAACGAAGTGATCTGTTGAGCCACTGTCTCCTGGCTGGACCATTGTGGACTAGTATTGTTGCCAGAAGAGTTAGCCACTATCTGGATCAGAGACACTCGGAGGTATACTGGACCATTACTGTGCTTCGAGGAACTAGAGTTAGAGCGACTAACACCAACACAGCTCAACTCTTTCAGTTGAAGAGCTGGAACAGCTGCAATGTTATACTGTGTCATCTAACTACTATAAGAGTATATAATGATCAGTTTTTTCAAAATGTTTTTGATATAGTTGTTTCCGGGTAAAAACAAAAGTCGTAGTTTTAAAATTAAATTTTTTTAATCTATAACTATTTCGAAAAAAAAACAACTTTCCAAAGTTCTTCTTGAAACATTCCGGAACACAAAATCAAGTACCTCTAAAGAACATCATAGAAAAACGATTCAAATAACTCGGAAATAAATCCAAACATCAGCATGTATAATTTTTAAAACGCTTTCTGGGTCAACCGCCTAGCAGGTTGTGTGTATGTATGAGTAGCTAAGGTTGCGTCCTTCTTTCATGAAACTCTAATATGTTGTCTTCGCTCGTAAAATAATCTCGAAAGGAGATTATCTTGCTAGAAGCCTGCAAGATCTTGTAAAAATATACATTATCTTTGAAGAGTCCTTCAAGATAACCCTCCAGGTAATTTTCAGGATCAATTTGCTACTCACAGTTGCTTTTTTGGTCATAGAAGGCAGTGAGACCCACAGATCCTAGCACACTCTCCTGTTGCCTCGTTTTCTCGTTTGCTCTTCCCTCTTCTCCATCTTTGCCCTAGATAGAACAGAACAGGCCGGTTAAAATAAACTGATAGCCTCTTGCTGTGCAAATAGCACCGAATGTTCCGACCACAATCAAAAACATTGCGAGGCCAAACTGTGTGTTTTGTGAATTGTAAGCGGATTCCGCAGTAAGGACGGTCCTTTGTTCTTCTTTTGTTATTCCCTTTTCTTTAATCGTTCCGATATTAACTTAAAATGATAGAAGACTTGTCTCTGGAATTCAGAAAAATACAGACACAAAACAGTGCGCCTATCCAGTGCATAGTTTGACCTCGAAATGAAAAAAAAAATAGTTCTTTTTTTTTTAAACTAATGTCATTTTTTTGCGTGGTGTGATAAAAGAACTAATCGAACGCAAAGAACATCAGTGAATTAAACATCATCGACAATAGATATTTCCGGAAAACAAATAAACAACAAAAATTGAAGAAAAAACTGCCAGGCACATTTTAAAAAAATATATATTTTTTTTGCGTATAATTTTTTTTGATTTTTTTGAAAACAGTTTTAATTACAAGAACTTGCTAATTGAAGCTTTCAAAACTATGTTGTGGATCTGAGCAATGCAATTGAACTATAAAGAAAATTCTTATTGAGATCGATAAGAGTAATAATTTGCCTCAAAATTAAAATGAATTCATAGTCGTTATCACTGAGAAAAATATACATAAGATCAAGATGTCATTAGAGATATAATTTTATTTCAAATTGTAAGTTTAGGCAAAACTGCTCGTATCAGGGTGAAGCCCTAAATGTTCCGACTGCCTTTTGAGGTCTATAGAGAAGTGTTTGCTTCGACAAAAATCCTGAATTTTCAAAAAATTTAAATTGAAATTTTTTTTTTTTTGAGTTTTTTTTTAAAAATTTTTTGAGTTTTTTAGAGATATCTATTTATTTTAATTTTTTAAGTGGTGTCTATCTCTCCCAGTAACATAGCAACATAGCAAATGCGTCAAGTAGCCTGTTTCAACCAATCAGTTTAACACATTTTGTAAGAAGAACTAAACCTCTCTTTACGCTTTAATAGCGAGAAAAATTTCATTAAACTTTCATAATTTTACGAAAAATAAACACTGGTGAAATTTCCTTTTTCAAATTGAAATCAAGACGTCAGTACTTTTCGGCTGTCAATTTTGTCAATATTTTTTGGATAAAAAATCGAAATTTTTATGGAGAACAAAAACACCCCGTGCACAAATATTCAGTCACTTTTTTGGAAAGTCGGAACAATAAAAACTTTTATTTTGGATGAGTTCTCATGTTATTACAAACTAAATTTTCAGGAAAAAGACCTCGTTTTTCACTATTTGAATGAACTCTTTTAGTCTTTACAATCTATTCGCTCGCTTTACTCGTTCAAAATTAGACTAAAACTCAAATGTTTCGAACTGGAAGTATTTGATAGTTTTTTGATATAATTCGAATCACGGCTGATTCGAGTATTCCATTGTTATACATCACTCAATTTATTCCAATTATTGTTTGTGGTACCTGATTTTGCGTGGAACACAAGAAAAAACCGAAACACGCCGAAAGACAAAGTTCGTCCCCATTTTCATTGGTCGGAACATAAATTGTTCACGTCAACATAGAAAGCAAAGTTTGAGCATAGAAAGCATAAAAAGCAGAATTTGAAAAATTTCTCTGCTTTTCGTTCACAGAATTGCAAATAGTACGGTAATTAATATCGGGTTCGCAAAAATAGGTCCATTTTTTGCAATATTATTGAAATTTGGGAAAATGAAAACGATCCGGATAACAACAAAGAATTATAAAAATCATTGATTTTAATATGCGTAGGTTTTTGTATCAAGAGTACTTTACAAACCTTGGAATTTTTCAGCTCGACATCCGTCAATTGAACCCTTTTGACCCCATTCGCAGTTTTCGGCTTCGTTGTAGTTCGGCTAACTTCCTTGTCTTTTTCTTGATCTCTTTTTCTTTCCCTCCCGTCCACCTCGTGCTCCTCTCTCTCGTCACCTCTGCTTTCACTGCGTCCACTGAGCCGATTGATCTGAGAACCGAACCGTTTCCCACTTCTCCTCAACTTCTCCTTAAATGAATATATATTTTTTGTAAATTCGTGTCCATTTTTTCACAGCAGGCAAAGAAATCTTCCTTTTCGATGATTTTCAAATAGTTTTTTGATTGGTCTCTCAAAATTATTAATATTTTAATGTATAAAAACCCTTTTAGGCGAAATTGACAGATAAAAAAATCAGAAGTAAATATTTTTGGTTTTAATATTAAATTGCTGTGAAAAAAAAAACAGTTAGCAAATACAAAAAAATGATAAAGAAAATAAAATAAATGACTACCTTTAAAGACTCCTTTGATCCCGGTAATGAGTTCTGACTGGCCCTCAAACTCTTCCAGCTCATTCTCAATCCCCCTCCCCCAGATGTTGATTTATGCTGCTTGAAACTTTTGCTCCCCCCATATCCATCGGCCCCATCCTCAACCCCCACCCCAATTAGAGTGTGAGTAGATGCTGAGAAGCTCCTGGTAGTCGGATTCATTCGTGGATATATTTGAGGATCCCACGAGGATCCCAAACTATGTTCGTTACTGGTGGAATTACTGTTGGTTTCAGTTTGATCCGGTCGTTTTTCTGACAGTAATAAGTCCAAAGATGATATAGAACGTGTCTGAAACATGACAACAAAATCGCGGTCTCACCAAAATAAGAATTTTGAAGTTTCTTCTTGAAGACTTTAAGTTTCTAAATATTTTTGATTTTGTCTGAAACATAACAGCAAAATCGCGGTCTCACCAAAATAAGAATTTTGAAGTTTCTTCTTGAAGACTTTAAGTTTCTAAATATTTTTGATTTTGTCTGAAACATAACAGCAAAATCGCGGTCTCCCCAAAATAAGAATTTTGAATTTTCTTCTTGAAAACTTCAAGTTTTTTGTGCTTACATGTTTTGAAAACGCTCATTTCGCTTGCATACGACCTCTAGGAAATTTTAGTTTATAGCTCTTTTTAGATTAGGGGCAATCAGTTGACGATATAACTCTTATGTAACTATAATGATTTCACCTTATTTTCAGGTTCCTGTGCACTCCTCGCCCGCTTTGAAGAAAATTGCTTGTCTTTCCCATGTTCATTTATGGGTGAATTGGGTTGTGTATGGGTATTGTGGTCTCTTGGAGTATTGATCGTGGGTGTGGTTAATGTCTCTTCCTTGCCCCCTTTTGTTACTGCTGGTGCTGTATGTGGGGGGATGACACGCCGAGTCTGTTGTCTCTGCCGGAGGATGTCGTCGTCTCCGGATATTGACTTGGTTGAGGCCGCTGTTGCATCTGCTGTTGTTGTTGTTGTTGACTCGAAAGTGGCATGTCGGGAAGAGGTCTGATAAACAAACTATCAAAATACCCAATTATTTTCTAAAAATCTTTTTAGGGTTGAATATAGATATAGACGAAGTTACTTGTGAACAAAAACTTACATGTTTGGTTCTCAGGTGTATCTTACATGATTTTCAAACAAAATTTAGCCAGAAAAAATGAATAAACTCGCACATTTTTTAGAAGGGTGCAGTTAACATATTTCTTAATTCACGGGTGCCTGAAAAATTTTCTGAAGAATGGATGATTATAATTTTCAAATTTTTTTCCTTTTTTTATTTGGATTAAACTGATTTACCGTGCTCAATCGAAGCACTAAAAAACAATAAAAAGCGAAATGCACAGAATGTTCCGACCAAATTCTCAATGTTTTTTTTTCTTCAAATTAGTGTCTTTTTTACGCCGTGTGATGGTAAAGCTATACAAACGCGTAGAAATTTAGTGAATTGGGCATAAACGACTACCCTTGTCTTCAAAAAAAAACGAAAAAGATGAGAGATTGTTTTCAAAAATTTTTTTATATTTTTTTCTTTCAATTTTTTGCTCTTAAATTTTCAAATATTTTCGAAAACTTATTTTGCCAGAGAAGCGCTATACAAAGCATCCAAAACTACATTTTGTTATACTGAAAGTATCAATTTTTAGTCTTAATTGGTATTTTTCAGACATAACGAACGTTATTACGATCGCTTTGCTCGAAAATAGACGCAAAATCAAAAATTTCAAACCAGTTTTTCTTGACACTGGGATTTTTTCAAAATCATTCGAATTACGACTGAAAGGGGGCTTTAATATGATATATCACTCAACTCAACTCGATGAATATATGAGAGTCCTGATTTTGCGTGGAAAACAAAAAAAACTAAAACCATCTGTATACAAAGTTGCTCCCCATTTTCCATGGTCGGAACAATAAATTTGAACAAAAATGATATAGTTTCCAAGTTAATTTTAGGACAAAAAAACTCGCCGGGTAGTCAAAAGGCAATTGCTTGTCAATGCAAAGCTTCTAAGCAAAAATCTACCGCTTCGTAATAGTCTGATTTTATAAAGAAACTATCCGGTTATTGACCAAAACAGCATAGATGTTTAATAGCAATTACCGAAAAAACCATAAAAACAAAAATCATCATCTTAATTCTGAGATAAACCCTTACAGCAGGATGCTGTTTGCTGAAAACAAAAATTTGATGAGTTCTTGAGTAAGCAGTTTTTTCCATATGTATAACTTGTATTTAATTTTAAAAATTGCAAAGTATCCGTCCGCTTTGAGGAAAAATGTAACCTTAGCATGCGATTTTAGGAAAAATCACTAAGAGTATATATTTTTGCACCGCAAACATTTTTCTATGATAATGAATAGACCAACTCTATAGTTTTCGAGTGTGGACGGTTTTATTGGCAAATTTCTCCCTCAAAATTAGAATACGTTGGAGCCGAAATATCCTGTAGATTTTTTTTAGATCGGTCAAGCATAAAATGATGTTCCAAAATAGTACAAAATGAGGGATTTTTTAGTGTTGAAGGGGTCAATTTTTAGACTTAGAATGCGTCCACCCTACCCCTCCCTTCCCTAAATCCTCCGTTGATTAATTTTGCGGGTCTAAAATTTTTATAAGAAAAAAAAGAAGGATCGCTGAAACATTTTTGCAATGCTTGAAACCTTAAAAAAGTTTTTCGTTGAAAACTAACATGGCTTTTCTTTAGTTTTTTAAAAAGTATTCAAACCATTTTGTAATTAAAAGAGATCCATAATCATGCCTGGACCACCGAAAACTTTATAGTTTACTACTCTTCATATTTTCCTCTCCGACTTCAATAAAATGAACTATGCTGAAGAAAACGAGTGAAAACAATCACATGTTTTCAGTGGTTAAGTGCTGTATAATTGCGAAAGAAACTGCTGGCACAGACGCAAAGCGGAGTTTCGCTTTTCTTCAGATACAAAACAAGAAAGCTGCTTAGCCAAAAAAAACGAAACTTTCGAAAAAATTTGTAAAATTAGATCTATCAAACTGATGGAAACCAGATATGAAAAAACAATATGTCAGACAAAATAATGCAAAAGTAGCAACGGAAAATAAGTTTCCAAGCGGTACAAAAGCCGAAAAAACCTGAGCAGAAACACTTTAAACCATAAAAAAACGATTCAAAAAACTTTAAAAATAATGAAAAAATTTTAAGTCCTTTCTCAGACAAAATATCAGCCGAAAATTTTTAAGCCGAAAAAAGAAAAAAAGGGTTTATAACAAATTGATTCGTTAAAATTACAAACTACATTAAAAAGAGTATTCGAATAAAAAGGATAACGAGAATGATATCATGTTCAAAATATGTCTGTTGCAATATTTCCGACAGCTGCGACCCAGGAGATGAGTCCAGGAAGTTAGTCCTGAAAACAAAGAAAATCACATGAAAAAATAAAGTCTAGTATCCGGTTGAAACACAATTGCTATCGCAGATTTTTTTAAAGAAAATAATATTTTTCACATAGAAGTACATAAAATTTAACTCTTACAGTTTATCTTTCTCTGCAATATATTTTTGAGTCAAGAATTTGATTTTTATAGTTTTGAATTTATTAATTGACAATTACGGGGTAGGTTATTAAGTACCAAAAACAAAGCGCTATGAAGTTTGAGGTTTCAAAAATCTTTCCTGATATTTTCCCTCCAATATCAATCACGATTCAAGTTGAAATGACAAATCACTCGTGTTTAAAGTCAAGGGATCCACAGTACTTCGGGTAGAGAAAAACACCCATTTGGAAAACACCCATTTGGTAATCCATTTGGAAAAAAGGCAACAGAAATTGAAGAGAAGACAGTCCCCTCGGGCAAATTACTGAAGCTATATTTAGAACAAAAAAACTGAACAAGGATAGTCGATTGCTCTTCAAGTCACACAGAATGTTCCGACCACGCAATATTTTGTTAAGAGATAAAAAAACTGGAAAGAACTCAAAAAAAAAACTGTATGGAAATTGTTATTTCCGGTTTTAAAAATTTTGCTTTTTTTCAAATAGTTGAAAACAGGGGCGGATATAAGATTTTCTCGAAGGGGCAATTCTCGAAGGGGGGGGGGGGGCAATTTATCAAAATTTTTTAGAAAACTTTGTCGACCTTTTCTGGCTGACTAAATCAATTTTTGGAACGCTCCCAGAGCACTAAAAAGACCCTTTTTTGACCAAGCTAAATGTTGAAGAAAAAAACAGGTCAAAAATGCCGTTTTTGGGCACTTTTTGGAAAGTTTTGCCCCAAAAAATTGCGCACTTTCAGCACGCGCTCCCCTAAAAAATTTGTATATAATGGCGCCAAAGGCGCCTTTAGTACAAATTTGGGGATGATCGGCCGAAAACAGAGGTCATAAAATAATGTGAGAGATGCCTTTCATTTATACTTCAGATTTTCTCGCCACTGGCATTTGTTTTGATTTTTTTTGGAATATGGGAATTCAAGTCGTGACCATTAAGATTTTCTAAATGATTTAAACTCCTGAGAACTTTGCTTGAGGTAGTGAAAACTGACCGGAAAAATTCAAACGAACCGTTAGTCATAGTTCTTTCCAGTCACCTTCAATGAAGCTCATAGAATATAAGCAAGCGCTCAGTTTGAAAACAGCTTGCCATTTGAATTTTTTTGACAAAAAAGACTTGAACGATTTTGAAAAAAAATCTTGTTTTAATTACTTTTTTCAGAACTAAATTGAACCGTTAGAGATTCTCTTCAAAAAATCCAGGAAAATTATTAACGCTTGGAACATTCTGCATTTTTTTTTACAGCAACCGACTATTCGTTTGTTCCCTGGACACAGATTTTTCAGTACTGATTCAGACATTCATGCTTTTCGCCATCTCGCATTGTTTACGTTGTTGTGTCAAATGAGGAGCGAAGGACGGGAGCAATGCTTGGCTCGCACACAGATGACCAGCAAGTGCTCTTTACTTTGAAGCCTGCCCAACAATAAAACTTGCTCAGAAAAGTCACCTCTAACCAGTTTTTGGACAGACGCAGTGCTTTTGGATAAAGCAATTCCATAGCCAAAACGATCAAACACGCTTTGATGATCCAACACGTTTAAAAAAAGTTTTATGGTAATTGAGTTTGCCTGAAAGTGTTACTGAATATGAAAAATACTCAAACAAGTTTCAATAATTGATTTTGCGAAATTCTGACATCAGATCTAAAATATGTCTAACTCAGTTTACTACTAAATCACCAACTCCCAAACTTTATCAATTTGACAACTATGACATGCTCTTAACCTAAAATTCACGGAGACTAAAATCACGCAAAGGCTCTTCGGATCGAGGTGCTCACTTTATGTTTGAACGATGTTCGAGATATGCTTCGACTAAGTACTCGACCCGAACCCCTGTCTCGTCTCGAGAAAAAATTTTGTACATTATACTCGTCATTGACAGCCTTAACATAAAATGAGAGCCTCGACCCTGTGTCTTAAATGGCAGGTAGGTAAGGGGTATCTAAGTGGGGTGTTTTAGGATATCTATGGGGGGGGGGGGGGGTGGAAGACTGAACTGGGGTGGGGGTTGGATTACAGACCTGCCATGTAGAGCTTGATCCATGTCCACTCGCTGCTTTGAAATCAAGATGGTACCAAGAAATCAAGATGGTAATGGTTTTGAAAAGGGGTTTGAAAAGACTCTATGCATAAATTATAAATGTCAATATGTCATGCCCTAATTCTTGATGACGTTTATTGATTTTTAAATAAAATTTAGCATTGAAAGAGAGGTCGATATTTTGTGAAGTTCGGGTTCTGAAAAAGTCGAAATCAGAAAAAAACGTGTTTTTTTTCTCTTGATCTTTCATAACAATTAGTTACTAATTATTTCTATTGTTTATACATGTATTGATCACTCACTAGGCTGTTGATCAAGGAAGGCACATTGCTTGATGAGTTGAGCTGCTGCTGCTGTGTCTGATGCGGATGTTGGTATCCCCCTACACCCTGCTGAAGTCCCTCCCCCTCGCCCTCGCCCAGGTGTCCCCCTAGTCTGTCTTCACAGGGGGGCATGCTGGATGATCTGCTATGTCAAATAACATTTGAAAATCCTAACTTGATTGTTCCAGTTAGTTAACAACTCAAATTCTTAATTAATCAGTATTACTGTTTTTATGAGTCTAACAGTTCGATTTGGTTTTTGCATTTGTCAAGTGAAATTTTTTGCGATTAGTTAAGTTGAAGTTTGCAAAATTAACTTATAGCCACAGTTGAAAATACCTTGCGTGTCTGGGCTGTGACTGTTGCTGCTGGTGATGTTTGCTTCTGGGGTCCAGGTGATCTCCTCCGACAAACGAGGACTTTGAAAGAGATCTTCCCTCTCTGGTGTCGCCACTGTCTCTCAGCAGAGATTCCCTACTTCCCCCAACCATACCATGGGTGGTGTGGGGGGAGTTGAACTCGCTGCCTGAGTTGGAATTCGGGTACAGGGCGAGTGACTTGGAAGAACCTCTGAAATCCTCCTGGGAAGCGAACCTGACAAAATAATTTACCTTGACAAAAAAAACACAAAACACTTACATTGTTCCTGCGTTTTGTTTCGCGAGAAATTTTTTTTCTCTGGTTGACATTTGGAGAAATTATCAACCTGGCAGATGCGTAGAGTGGTGCCATATGCCTGGGTCGGGGTCTTCCCCCCTGCTGGTAGAACCCGTAGGCATGAGGAGGCATGGATCGATACTGCGAGGGGTGTCTGAATGGAATCCTCCCCTGACTATTGCTAGCACCACCGTATCTGTGGTGGGGATGACGAGGTCGGTAGCCGTAGGGCACCCCCCTCATTCCACCCCTTCCCCCCATTCCCATATCTGCATACTCTTGGTGCGGGTGGGGCATCGGTCTACCTCCCCCCGAGTAAGACATGGAGGCCCAGTCGGATGCATTTGCAGCCGGATGGTACCGCCGGTGTTCTGGAGTCGCTGGCACTGAGCAGCTGTAGCCGATAGGACGAGACGTCCCGATATCTAGGTTGGTTGCATGTAATGAATTGTTGCTCCCTAAATTGCCATGTGTTGTTTGTGTCACATTTGGGTTGTTTGTGTTGGTGTTGCCGGATGTCTGGGAGTCCTGGGAGTGACCTCCCTGCAAACTGCGTCTCCTGTTTGGCTGCTCGTGTTCGTAATTGTCTGGACAAAACATAATAAGAATGCTTATAAGTGTCGCTGCCAATTGCCACAAAAAGATGACATCGGCGTTCATGAAATGACATAGCGGTAATAGTTACCATCTTGAATCAAGCGCAAAGATTGTTAGAGAAAAAGAAAACAAGAGAGTTAGTCGAACGATTTTGTGAAATATTTAATTCGTGATGAGAAAAAAACTCCCTGCCTTCATAAACTTTCTCCACACTCTTTTTAAGTTTTCGTGTTTTTTTTTGGCCATGTTACCTGACGAGTTCTGCTTGAGCAGGGATCCCCTTTGACTCTCGGTACCTTCTGTATCCGCTTCTGTCCTCCGCTGGCCATGACTGTGGCCATGACTGTGTCCATGAGGATCTTCCAAGTCATCGTCCACGTGGTGTGACCTGTGCGACCTCTCGCTCTCCGAGGACAAGGTGGCTGCGTGTTCACTGTTATCCCGATTGTCCACGTACTCTTGAAGCGTAGCAAAGGATGAAGGGGATCCGAACTGCTCCTCCCCGCCTGTCCATCCGGGACCCTCGGCAGCCATTAGGAATTTGCGACGAGTATGTTTGTTCAACAATTCGACTTTGTGCAGAATCATTTGGTGTGTGTTGTCTATTGGATAGAATCCTGGTGCTCCGGGGTATCTGGGCATCGGCTGAGGTCTACCCCGCATTCTATTCAGAGACCCCGAAGCATCCATGTAGTAATGTGTGGCCATTACAGGAGAGGGTCTCATACCACGAGGGTGCATGTAAGGCATCGTGTAAGGATCGTAGAACTCTGCATAGTGGGGCACCATATGCCCCCCTCGTCCCCTCATTTCTTTTCTGGGCAGCCAGTGCTCGTGAGGGTATGGCGGTACCGCGTGTCCTTCCCTACCCTGTGTTCCGCTTGGTGACCTTGAACTCATGCCTTTCCTTCCGGAACCAGGTACCCTGTGAGTATACCCTGCACGCAGATTAGGCGTTGACATGTTTTGCGGTCGCATTGCAGATTCCAATCCAAGGTCTCGTCGTCTGGAATTGGAAAGGGTACCGGCTCCAGAAGTGAGCATGTCTTCATTTTGGTTCTGGTCCGTTCTGTTTGGGTCTCTAAAGGGCTGTTGGTTGAAAGGCAATCTCGATGAAGGCGTAGGAACGTCTGCTGAGGTATGTTTCGTAGAATGACTAGAGCTAGAGTCTGATATCTCGGGCGACTCAGAAGGGATCCGTCGTCCAGGCCCGGTTCCCAATGATGCTGAACTAATCTTGAAAGTTGACTGCGTCGGCATCGCCGCACCAGCTGCCACAGGGTACCTTGAAGTCTTCGGTTTTGTTGTTCCTCCGCAACCAGAAGCTCCTAAGGTAGCAGTGGATCCCTCGGATGACAACGAGTCCTGGCTATGCCTTTGTTGTGGACTAGTCAACCTGTTTTTACTAGAATCCACCTGGACAAGACTCTTTGTCGAATCCTGATTAGACATCGAAGACACGGGTGAGTTAGTTCTACTGTTAGCTTGGTTTTGACTTGGTAAATGAGCAGCCAGTCGGTTGCTGTAATTGGGAAGAGATTTCGTCAGTTGCTCACTGGACATCGAATCGTCGGCAGAAGAAAATGGAGAGGTGGCAGCCGGGTTAGAACTGGAAGATTTATAGAGGGGGGTTAGTTGGTTGGTTATTTGACTAGTAGTATTAGAAGCACCAGGGCCAGTGTTGTTGGTGGTAGTTTTGGGGGTACTACTTGAACCCAGAGGGTTGGAGAGAGCAGCCTCGTTGGCCTCATTGGACCAGTGCATACCTAGTAGTCCTCGTTCTATCTCCGCACAAAGTTGAGACTTCGCTAGCTCCTGCACCAACGCAACAAAAATCAAATCAAAAAATCAAATAAAATCAAACTATCCGACTTAAGCCAGTTTTTTCTCTTATTTTCTGGCTTTGTGACTCAACAAGACCAAACAATGATTTAACCTGGAAATGGCAATTCAGTCTTAAAAAAATTCAAAACTAGTTTTCTCAACCATCAAAACTCCGTACTTACACAGTAGAGCAGAAGGAACAGATAGTTCTAATGTTTGTAAAACTTACTTACCCCGCCAAAGAAAAAAGAGAGTTTTTGAAGCTCTGTTGAAATACCTGCCCAAGATAGTTGGGGTAATCAAACTCCACCCACCGGTAATTCAATTGAGCTTCAAAAACTCTAGTCTGACTTTGGCGGGGTAAGAGAACTTTCCAAGCAGCAAAATCATCTGTTTTTTCTTTGTTCTTCTGGGAAAAAAAATTCATTTTCGCAGTAGATTAAACTCTTATTCAATTTGTCCAGCATACATGCCATTTCACGGTCGAAAAACTTGAAATCGCAAAAAAAACACGTGAACATTTCTTGGACCAAGTTAACATTCTCCCCTCCCCCCCATTCTCCCCTCCCCCATTCTTCCCTCCCCCATTACGGTTAATTTATGTATGAAATGAAGCGTTGTCAATCAGCCCGAAACCGAACTACCTCAGAACCGAAAGAGGCAGAAATAAAAAAAGTTAATCTGAGTCACAAAAAAAACACTAATCTGAATCACCCTGTCAGAAGGTATAAAAGGCATATAAGTTTTGCTACCACTGTTAATTTACCTCTGAATAGAAGAGGTTGTTGTCACTGGAGTCATCATGCAGCTCCTGGTCTCTCCCAGTATACCCGTGAATTCCCATTCCACCACTTGCTGACCGACTGTTCCTGGACCCTCCGGTTGGGAAATGAGCCTGGATGGTGCTGTTTGTGTTGCCATCGTCTCTGGTAGACCCACTGAGTCCCGAAGATGCGGACGCTGAAAGGAAAGAATTAAGAGAGGCTACATTTTCGTCTAACGAGGACGACGAGACGTTAGCAAGGTGGCTCAGCTGCTGCTTGATTGCTCCAGCTGCAGCGCCTGGACTTCCTTGGTCCAGCTCGGATACCAGAGATGATACGTTCTGACGCAGTTTGCATCCTAGTCCAGAGGAAAACGAGACTAAAGACTGCTGCCGGGCAAGGACCGAGTTGCGAAAGGAGTCCGGCAGCGGCGGGAGAGGAAATGAGGAGGACGGAGATGATGGGGCCTCTTGCGATACAGGGTTTTGGTGCTCTGAAGAGACCGAGCACGAGGTAGCTGTTTGGAACCCGTTGCTCCCCGAATGCTTTTTGGCATTGCTGTCATTGTTGTTATTGTTATTGCTATTGTCCGTGACATTATTGTTATTGTTGTTGTTAATATTGATGATGGTTTTGTTCGATTCCTCGAGTTTCGAGATGATGCTCTGTTTCAGAGTGTCCGTTCGCTCCAACTGAGTCATAAACGACTGTTTCAGAAGATCCATTTTTTTCAAGTCCTAGCTTGATATTTTCGCAGCTCTGATTCGTTTCAGTTTCCCGACTCAAAGATTTTTCGTCTGTTCCCAAATTTCAGCATCTTCTTCGCAGTTCGTGAACATGTAAGTATTTTTATGACGTATATGACTATCAAAACTATCGTCCAGATGACTAGACAAAAGTATAATCTAAAATTACGATCCAAAATTACGTATGCTTCAAGTGGTCAAAATACTCGGTGGAATAAATCTTGACGAGCAGGGTTTTCAATCCTGGTTTAGGTATCTGAATCCGGTCACATTCATCTATGAGAGTCTAGAGCTCACGATACAAAATTGCATTCTTGTGATGAAATTACAGCCAGTATTTATTTGAGATAGCAATAATATCTTCAAACTGGCAAGTAACGGGCAATTAGACGGTCTATAGGATGGTGATATTTTTGGCGTCGATTTTCCAAACTGGATGAAAGCGAATAACCAACTACTTGATGTGAGTGATACTAATGCTTCTTGCTTTCTGTTTAAGACTTTCAGAACATCTAAACGCGACTGAATTACTAATCGTATCGATTTACGAACCCCTGTAAAAATGTTAGATAGCAGCAAAATGAGGCGGGAACTTCTCGTGTTGTAACTGCATGATGTCAAGTTCAGGCACTCATAAATTTACTGCCACGTGAAACTTAAATGGTAAGTATTCGCCTGAAAATGAAAAAAAAAAACAACAAATAAGACAAGAGATAACCCGTAACAGCACTCTTAAGCCTTAAGCCCCGTGGTTAATTGATGTCTTTTGTCACGTGTTCTCTTCAGTAAAGATGACGCGCATTGAAAAATGTAAAACGGTCAATATGGCTAGCTGAGAAAAATTTAAAGGTTCAAGGCAGTTCCCTACGAGAGAGCCAATTAAAGAACTGCTCATCTACAGCAAAAAAAAACTAAAAATCAGCGGCCTATTTTTCCAATATCCACTTAAGGCCCTTAGCAATTACGCATTCCCAAGCATTGCATCTCCGTTCAAGTAAAAACAACGAGCATCGAACAATATGAAGGGTAAAAGCAGTTGATATAGGGTTTTTTGAGCCCTAAAGGGGGGTTAGAAGAATAGGATTGCAGGTAATAGTGATTGATTAAGGCTACTGATGTCGAGATATTTTCGTTGATTGGGGATCAACACAACAAGCTACTACAAAAGATTCCTGGAAAATGAAAGAACCCTTTGATATCTTTTCCACTTTCTCCGCTTTTTCTGTCCCATTATTGTTATTATTTTTACTTTTCTTTAAATTGTTCCCTTTTAACATACTGATGCATTTCTTTTTTCCTTCTAAATATCAACATGGTTCTAAAAAGGCTAAGAAAGATTTTCAAGGTATTTGAGTGCATTTGTATCTAACAGGAATATATCAGGCGTCTTTGTGATCTCTTCCTAATTCTTACATTTCACTAGTCTGAAGTACTCGAGGAATTACCGTGTAAAAGTAGAATTCGTTCAGCAAACAAAATAGCTACTTAAGCAATTTCACAAGGAAAGACAAACTGAAATTTAGATTGCAACAAGATTAGTTGCTTTCTATGTGAAAAGCACAGAACTCTCCTACCACGGTATCAATGCGAATTTGAAAAATTAATTCGATTTTATTTCTACTTTTCATCTTTTTGCCAGTTTTTTTCTCACCTTACGAAATATTCGGTTGGTTTTTGAGCAGCAAAAAAAATTAATTTAAATGAACGATCGATTAAGATCATTTTTTCTTACTTTTTGTAAACTATATAGTAAGCCGGCTGAAACTTTCAACCAGACATATTGGAAGAAATGTAAGATGAGTTTCTCTCGCTTAACGTTTCAAGTATGCTCTACTAAAACTGCACAAAAAACGAATGTCTTAAATTCGCCAAACTTCCCTTTCTTTAACCTGATTTGGCTAAATGGAAAATAATCATAACAAAGATAGCCGGTTGCTGTGTGAGTAGCACAGAATGTTCTGACCACATTCGTAAAAAACTACATAAAAAAAACTTTTTTAATCTTCAAACTTGCGTTATTTTTTTCTGCGTTGTGTGATTATAAAACTATACGAACGCGTCGAAAATTATTGAATAAGACATAAAATACTACAATTGTCTACAAAAACAAATCAATAAAAAAATGAAAAAGAAAATCAAAAAAATTCTAAAGAGTTTCTTAATTTTTTGCATTAAAAAACTTAAAACTTTTTGTATTAAAACTTTTATGGCCAAGAAAGCGCTCTATTAAGTTTCAGAAAAATGGTTGTCTCTTTAGTAAAATTAAGCTGTTTTAACCTTTTGTGCCAGTGATTATATATAACTAACGTTCTCGGTCGCTTTACTCGCTCGAATTTGTTTTATACCGGTTTTTCTCAACAATGAGAATATTGTTTTCCATTTTAAAAAGTTGTTCAAATCACTGCTGTAAGTTCGTTTAATTGATGTATTAGTCAAACCAATCCGATGATTAATTGTTGTACCGGATTTTGCATTGAAAAAAAAAGTAACCTAAAAGACAACCGATTACAAAATTCGCCCATATTTTTCAAATGGTCGGAACAAAAAAAATTGTTGTAGATTTAACTTATATTACCTGATTGATAAAAAAGCTATCATTTTTCGCTCAACTGAATTAATGACTAAATTATAATTGACAAGCGAAACTCCACAACTCAAAACGCTTTGATGTATTTTATAGCAAGTTTTATTCGTTTTTAGTACAGAAAAATTGATTTTCTCAGCATGCAAGAATTAAATTTTCTCAATAAAACGTTTTGATTTCTCGAGATAATAGCTGATTTAGTACAGGTGATGAGTGATTGTCCAGATAGTGACAGATAATTTTTTAGTTCACCTTACAACGATTGATAAGCTGGCAATGTTTTAAAAGTTTTATGGGACCTACCTACAATCTAAGACCCAATAGCTTGATATGGATTATCCTATGACACCCTAATAGTTTCCGTTAGGAGGTCCAGGCACAAAAATTTTAACCAGATATATAGGGAGCAAAGGTAAGCTGATTTTCTCTCGCCTATTTTTTGAAGCAAGCTCTTCTAAAACTGCAAAAAAACAAAGGTTTTTACATTGCCATTCTTCTACTTCTGTAATCTGATTTTAATAACAAGAAAAAAAACAAAACTTAAATCATAAGGAAGAAAGCTGGTTGCTGTGTAGTAGCACAGAATGTTCCGACCACATTCAAAAAAAAATACAAAAACAATTTTTTAATCTTCAAATTAGCGTCCTTTTTGCCGCGTGGTGTGATTATTTATAGAACTAAGCAAACGCGGAGAAACCTATTGAAGTAGGTATAAAATACTCTAATTGTTGTCAAAACTTGCATAAATGAAAATAATTCAAATCTGTTTCTAAAATGTTTCCTAGTTATTACAATAAATATTTTATTTTTTTTCTAGAAATTTTTTATAGCCGAGAAAACGCTTAATAAAGCTTCCGAAAATGGTTTATTTTTTTAAAATCAAGTTTTGTTTTGCTAATTGATCATTATTTAGATATAATGATCGTTAGTTGATCGCTTTTACTTGCTCAAAATCGGACTAGAACTCAAAAAAATTAAACTAGTTGTAAAATTTTTTACCTTCGTTCGAATTATGAGTAAAAAAGCTTAAGATGATGTATCATTTCATCAATTCCGATGCTTAACTGTGGTAACTGATTTTGCATGAAAAACAAAAAAAACTTAAGACACAGCCGAATACAAAGTTTGCCATAGTTTTCAATTAGTCGAAACAAAATATTGAAGATTCCCTTTATATTACTTTATTGACAATAGATAAGCAATCTTTTTTCACTCACCTGTGCAAAAAATAAACTTGTATTGAAAGCCAAACTCAAAAATTCAAAACGCATTGATGAATGGTAAAACAGGATTTTTTCATTTTATCTCAGCAAAATTAACTCAGTTGAGAGATTTCATTAATCTGTGTATCTTTCCATCCATTCTGATAATGGAAAATAGTACTTGACTTTGCGGGGAAAACAAAAACAAAAAAAAGTTCAATTCACAGCCGATTACAAAGTTCCTCCATATTTTGCACATAGTCGCAGGGCCGGATCTAAGATTTTCTGGAGGGCGGAGGGCGGGAGCATATTTCCATAAAAAATTGAAAATTTTGCCGAATTTTTTTTTCTAAGGTCGACCAAATTGGCGATTTTCCGAGCTCTCCCAAAGCCGTAAAAAAAAACTTTTTTTTGGCCAAAATTTCTGCGTCGCATGCAAATTTTTTAAAAAATACATGCCAAAAAAGGCGTTTTTAGTCACTTTTTGGAAAATTTAAACCAAACAATCGCGTTTTTTTTTGGCGCGCTCCACTCTCAAAATTTGTATTTATTGGCGCCTTAAGAAAAGTTTTAGGGTCCGTCACCTATAACAGGTATCTCAAATTAGTACAGGGGGACCCTTTGGGTCGGCAAGGGGTCGAATCCTTGAAAGGGGGCGTCCGCA